TGGGCCCCTCTTCCCTCCAGGGCTTTGTCCCATGGCACTCCACCAAGCAGATGCCTGAAGAGGCCAAAGTCTGCTCTCCTGAAGTCCAGGGTAGTGAGCTTGCTGTGCACCCTCCTCGGTGCCCTAAAGATCTTGAACTCCACCATTTCGTGGTCACTGCAGCCCAGGCTGCCCTTGAGCTTCACATTCCCCACCAGCCCCTCACTGTTGGTGAGAACAAGGTGCAGCATAGCACCTCTCCTCATTGGCTCCTCTGCCACTTGGAGAAGGAAGTTATCATTGACGCAACACTGATGCATCTCGTCCAACCCCCCTGCTCAAGCAGGGCCATCTAGAGCCAGTTGCCCAGAAGAATTGAGCAAAGAACCTGCTCTGTTGGGTCTTGGGGTCAGTGCTGGTTATAACTCTTCTCTGATGCAAGTTTTCACTAGCAACTTGGAGAAGGAAGTTATCATTGACGCAACACTGATGCATCTCGTCCAACCCCCCTGCTCAAGCAGGGCCATCTAGAGCCAGTTGCCCAGAAGAATTGAGCAAAGAACCTGCTCTGTTGGGTCTTGGGGTCAGTGCTGGTTATAACTCTTCTCTGATGCAAGTTTTCACTAGCAGTAATCACAGAAGAACATGATGTTTCGGTACCATTCTTAAAGGGAACTGGTAAGTTACCTGAGAATGAACTCACAACACAGCAGAGTCAATACCTTCAACTGAAAAAATAAAGCAGCGTTAGTGTCGGTGGCAGAACTAAATGTGTTTGTTTTCCATAGTGCCTGAAGAACATTGGATGGGAGCTCAGCATGATGTGAAGGGACCAGATGCCTCTTTCTTTGTTGAGCCACCAGGTAAAAATAGTTTTGACTTGATCTGCAGGAACTGTCTATAGGGAGTTTCTGAACAGCAGAAGCAGAGCTTCTCTTGCCTGCCTTTTCAAGAAACAAAAGACACTAATGGAGTGAAGTGGGACCTGACCAAGAAAAACACTGTTTCTGGTTCTCAAATCAATTTAGAATAGAAATGCGTGTTTTTGAGAGATGTTACTTAACACATTTTCTGGTTTAGTGCTGTAAGGGGTGGGGAGAACCCTGCATTTATGTAGACAGTTTACTTCTAATTTAGGGTAACAAATTTAATATATGCAGTTCCAAGTCCAACTGTCAGTAGATATTAGTGGCATGCCCTTTTGGGGCATATCATGTCGCAGGGCTTTAACCCACTGCAAATATGCCCTTTCATGGGTTTTGGGGAATTAAGTTAGCAGATGCAGATGTGTGCAAAAAAACCCAACAACATTCAGTAGCAAGCTCTGTAGATTCCAGACTGTGTCTCCATTCTGTATGTCTCCATTACAGTGAACGTACCTTAATTTCCAGTTGGGATGCGTGTTCAAGCATTACTTGGCACTAAAATAATAAATAGGGTGAATAAAATTTACTCTTGAAAAGAAACTGTAAAACTGGAACTTTACTACAGTCAAGGATTCTAGTCTTTGTACACACTGAGAGTCAAATCTGCTGACTTGAGTGGTAAGTCAGAGCACTTGTGTTTACTGCTTCTGAGGGTCGGTGCAGCTGAGGGCACCAACAAACATAACTTTGGCTCATGCATAATCAACAGAATTTTAAACTAAATTCTAATTGCAAACCTGTGTATTCTGTTCAATTATCTTTAGATTCTGGTTACAGTTAAATCTTTGAAGCTCCATTGAGACAAAATTCTGTTGCGGTTGCATGTATATTACAATATTTGATCCATAATGGGATCTTTATTGCCGATTTTGGTGAACAAGCAAAGAAGAGAGTAGTTTAACACTGGTCCTAGGTAGAAAGTGTTTCTGGAGCTGGTGGCTCTACCTAGGGCTCAGGCTAGAACTGGGATGCTTTGTAACTGAACGTTCCTCGACTTTGTCACAGCAGTTGCTTCTCTCAAGATACAAGTGTTTTCCTAGGTATTACACAAACTAATCTTCTGAAAATTGAAAATAAAAACCGATTCTGTTTTGGTCTGATCCTACTGGGATGCTGAAGTGGAGGAGCTTACTCATCAGGGTTGCTGCTGCAGGCAGCACAGACCAGGCAGCACCTTGAGAGGGTGATTCACATCCTGGCAACTCCAGAAGAGAAAGCTGTTTGCTACGATCTGAGCACTTAATCAAACTTCGTTTTGTATGCCCAGTGCCCCCCACGGTGACTGAAGCAATAAAGCCGAATTTGCCGGAAAGCCCTGCAGCAGTGGCTCCTGGTTTTGTTCCTACTGCAGTAACAGCATCCCTAGGAGAGGCTGAAGCTACTGATGGACCAAAAGATGCAGCATCAGGTAAAGTTGCCCCAGTCTAAAGATTGGTGCTGGGTTTAGGCCCTTCATGAGCAAGCTGTAATGGTGGAAAAAGACCTGGGATTGCCTCTTCTGGAGGAAACACAGCAAGGTATTAACAAATTCCATTGTGGCTAAAGGTTTATGATACCCGAGTTGTGTTGGTGAGAAATAGCAAGTCTACTTACTTGACTTTTCAACTCTTGTGTGACAATCCAATAACTGATTTAATGATTCTTTACTTTCTCAGAATTTTAGCTCCAGAAAAATGCTAAGGTGTGTCAAGAACGTGGTTATACCACGAGTCTGGTGCTATATATAAATACCTTGAAAACTCTCCACTTTAAATACTCTCTTTAAAACAGAGGTTTTAAGGTATTTATATACAACATCAGACTCCTGGTACATTTGGCACCAACCTTTGTCCGGTTTCTTTATGCTTTATTCCAGTACTTTCCATGATTCACCAGGGAACATCCATACTGCTTTTAATATCTATTTCTTTACTGTCTTTTTCTTCTGTAAAATCACAATCTTTAAATTTTATTTCGGAGAGTATCATGATATCACTTAAAAAAAAAAAAAGGCAAAACCAAATGAAAGCTAGTGCATAATGGATCTTTTTGGTTTGGTTCACTGGAATATTGGTTTTGTCTAAATGGATCCTGAAGTGCTATTTTAAAAGGGACTTTTCAGTTTTTCCTATTTCTTTCCTTATTCAGTTTAAGTATCTTAATTTAAGATTTAATGTATTTTTCCATTGTTTGGGGAGGATATTTTTAGATATGACTCAAACAATCAGTAGAAATTTTTTTTTAACATCTACTCAGCAATATATCTGAGACGTTCAGGTCACCACGCTGCATCACACAGAGTATGGGTAGTGCTTGGGGCTGTTGAAATTAATAGCTGCAGGAGAGAAATCTAGTGCTTCAGGCTTTTGATAATTGTAAAAACTTGCCTCTAGACAGCTGAAATATTAAGCTAAAACTGACTGAAAAAACTCCTTTAAGGGGATCTTATGAAAATGCTAACTTAAATGCAGAGGTTTGACTGTACTGTGAACTGACAAATGTTATTTTGAAACTAACAGCTCAGTGTTTAGTAGCTATTATGTAAAAAATGAATGAGGCCAAGTTGGGCATGAAAGAATAAAGGGCAGCTGGTGATTCACTGGATGGCAGTGTCTTTTGTGTCAAGAGTGCCAATGCTTCTGCTCAAGTTGCAGCACCATACCACCCGTGAACAGCATAAACAATATTTAAAATGAAGTGTGTATGGCTCTGGAACGTTTCAGGACTTTTTCCGCTGTTGAAATACACAGCTGGGCTCATAAAGGTGACACCAAAAGTTTCGGTGTCCTGCTATATAGGAAAAAACCCTCATTGTGATTCCTGTGTATATTCTGTTGGAATGTGTTGCTCGCAGTGGACCCAGCAGCTCTGGCCTCTTGCCAGCTACGTAGCATCAGGTAGTTTTTAAACGAAAACAACGCATCTTTTGGCTGATGTATGTTAGGAGCAGACAGATGTCTAACACTGTAGTCAAGGATACAAAACAAGGTACGTGAAGCTGCAGTAGGAAAAGTACTTGGGTGCGTTGAGGGGTGTCATAAAGACTAGTGCAACTTGAGTGCACTGGCGTAAGCGGGGGGAGTAAGCGATGCTGAAAGACAAGAAGACAGGGAGCGAAAGCCCTGTCTTCTCTAGTCATAAAACCACACTGTCAGGTGTTTACATTCTGAATTTTTTTTTGTTGATTTCTGTGACCTGTGTTTCTGTAGCAGATGCAGTGTGTGTTCCTGCCTTGGATGTCATGTCCGTTTCTGCAGAAAAAGCTGGGTCCGTTCTTGCAGGAGACACCAAGCCTCCTCAAACTCTGGATGCTGGGTTTGCACCTACAGCAGAAGCTAACCCTCTTCAGGCTATGGATGCTGGGTTTGCACCTACAGCAGAAGCCAACCCTCTTCAGGCTATGGATGTTGGGTTTGCTCCTGCACCAGAAGCCAAGCCTCCTAATGTTATCAATGATGCATCCGCCCCAGTGGCAGATACTGGCTTCACCCCGGCAGCAGATGCTATGTCCCACTATGCTACGGATTTGGAGTTTGCCCCAGAAGAAGACGCAGGGTTTGCCCCAGCAGCAGATGCAGAATCTCACCATGCTATGGACTTTGCATTTGCCCCAGCAGCAGATGCGGAATCTCACCATGGTATGGATTTCGCATTTGCCCCAGCAGCAGATACTAAATCTCATCATGCTATGGATTTCGCATTTGCCCCAGCAGCAGATGCAGAATCTCACCATGCTATGGATTTGGCGTTTGCCCCAGCAGCAGATACTAAATCACATCATGCTATGGATTCTGAGTTTGCACCAGCAGCAGATGCAGAGTTTGCCCCTGCAGCAGAAGTCAACCATCATCATGCTATGCATTCTGGGTTTGCTCCTGTAGCAGAAGCCAAGCCTCTTCCTGCCGTGGATTCTGGGTTTGCCTCTGCAGAAGCTAAGTCTGTCTCTGTAGCTGACACCAAGGTTGCTGCATCTGAAGAGCTGATGACATCTGAGTCTTCTCTTGAGCAAGACAAGTCACCCTTCGACAAGCCTCCTGCAGGTGAGCGTGTATGCCTGGAAGCTTCGTTCAGGCTTGAAACAGCATGGAAAGTGGTGTGAGAAGGCCGCCCTAAGTTGGCATAGCACTAGCAGCAGCACTCCTGGTAGCACATAGCGATGGCTACATGGATGCACAATTGTCGTAAGACTCAAATAAAACGCATATATGGATGCACAATTGTCGTAAGACTCAAATCGCATATTTTTTTAGTAGTTAAGATGATGATATGCCTTGCACAAGACATCTTAAGCAGAGCTCAGTTCTGCTGTCAAGATACAGACAGAGGAAGTGTTTCACAAGGATTTTTTGCTTATAAAATATAAAACTAGAATATCTTGATGTTTGGGGTTTTTTTTACTTGGCATTCTTAGCAGTGATGTATGGTTTTTTTAGGACAGCCATAGAGACATTTTAGTTAATCCTTGTTAGTACTTACTTTTGTATCGCTATCGTCCTCAGCATATACTGAAATCTCTGCAAATCCTGTAGGACACTGTTTTCAAACAAAGCTTCTTATCTTGAAAATAGTTTCTGAATAGACTGATAAGGTTTGTTGATAATTTGGTAACATTTCTTTGGAATGACTATAGGCGTTGAAATGGCGAGGCAGGCATTTTGGTTTTTTCCATGTGGTGGACAATGGATTTTCTGTGCTGCATAGATTTCTCAAAGGACACTGTACCTTCAGAGAGAAAATGACCGTCAAAATATAACAAATAGTACCGGGCAGAGGCAGTGTATGTGGATTGATTGCAGAAAGAGTTGGAGTGAGATATTTTCTTTCCTTTCTTACTTTCTAATACTCTCTAGTTTAATGATAGGAATAAATTTCAAAAGAGACGTTTCAACAAAAAAAAAAATCCCTACTAGAATATAGTAACTGAGGCATAGGTGCGTGAATGAAAGAGTAAATCCCAGACAATACAGGAAGATTTGCTTTAGCAGAACACTTAGACTTTCAGGAGGGGGAGAGCTGGTAGAAAGTGATCTTAAAAAGCAGATTACCACTGTTTTGAAAGTGAGGAAAACCTTTAGTTTCTTGTGGAAGATAGGTGAGGAAGTGTGGGGTTTTTTTTTAATCTTGCCTAATCTGGTCTAAATTAAAAACAATATGGATTTTTATTCTTTACATTCTGTTTGCAGAAGCCACTGTAAACGTGGAACAAGAATCAAAAGTCCCAGAAGCTTGTGTTGATCTTTTAGAGAAAGCTAAAGACAGCAGACCACTGCCCAGCCACCATGAAGAGCATCTTCCAGAACAGACTAACCATCTTTCAGAACCGGCAGGTGAGAAATGCAAACCACAGTATAAAACTGGAGCCAGCACGTTCCTATCAGCTAATTCTGCCCTGCCACCTAAGTTCTTTCTCACGGACACTGTTCTCCTGTCCTTATCAAGGAAAAAACAGCAAAGGTTTAATTTCAAGAAGGTTATTAGTGTGTGCTAACATGGGGACTGTTATAAATAGATGGTAGTCTTAACATTTGAAATTACCATCATATGACTTGTCTTTTTCTTCCTCGTCCATAGTTGTTGTACCAATGTCTGTCATAGTTTTTATTTCTATTTAAAACTTAAATAAAATTAGTTACATATAGAACTGTTCTCCAGTGTAATTATGTCTTACAAATTAAAACTTGTTATAATTATGTATAGCTAGGAATTTTGTAGTGTCTGCATTAATATATTCTAAGGTATATATGAATACTAGATGATTAGCATTACATAGGGATTCCAGACTGATACTGGAGTATATTCTGGATTTTAATTCCAGTGGGAAGCTAGTATAGTTTGAATTCGGTTGATTACGAAGAGGGGAAAAAAAAAACCCCAAACCCTTACCCTGTGCTTAAGTCCCAAGACAGTCTTTGTTTCATGTTTTACCTCCACCTTGGCATGTCTGCCAAAATATAAAATTGCTGCTTAAAATGGGATTGTGAGGAGATAATACATAGTAGACTACCATATCTTATAAACTTCATTCCTATTAAAAATAAAATAAAACCTGTACCCTTTCCAAGGGCTTGCTTTTAAACTGCAGGTTGCCTGTATTCATAAGGACTGAAGCATTCTATTCATATTTTTCATATTTCAGTTCCAGTAGAAGCAAAAGAAGCCGTTGCACTAGAAAATAAAGACCTCCTTCAAGAAAAATCTGTTACTACTGTGGATGTTATTGTTACAGAGAAACAAAAGGAGGAGGCTGAACACAACCATGTCCAACATGCAGAATCTCAGCAAGAAAAAACCCTGCAAGAGCCCACAGGTAGAATATAAATAATAATTCAATTTCAGAATGGAAATATCCTCTGTGAACTCTTCACCTTTTCCTACTGACTGCGTTGCCACTTGAGCAAGCAGAAATCTTTTTTGCACCAAACAGCTGTGCGGTTCTTTGCATTCATCGGTGATTCTGGTTGCATTTTGCCTCTAATCCCTGCCCTCTTAAATACTCTTTTCCCCTCCATGTTCACCGGACTAAAAGCCCAAATATGGGTGCTACTAGTACTTTGTCACTGGGACTGACTTATATCTTTTCTGCTGTAGAATTTAAAAGCTCACCATCTTTTTGCCATTACAGCTAGCTTTTTATTTTGGTATTAAAAAGGACCATTAATTTGTATTACAATACTCCTAGTAAAGACCTCCTTCCAAATTGAGTTTTGTAATTACCAAAGGAAAATGTAATTTTTTTCCTGCTCTGCTAACCCAGCCTCTCCAATGAGCTGTTACTGCTTCCACTTGTGACTGGAGGCTGATTTGTGGGCCAGGGCACTGACAAATGACTGATGCTCTCTTTAAAATCAGTGGCTTGTAGCTAAGGAAACCTAGCGCTGCCTATAACGGAGTACAGCAAATGACTTCTGTTACGGAGGTTCTGCCTTCCCCTGCTTCCACCGTGGGTGCTGTGGGAAACTCAGCTCTCTTGCTCCCCCTTCCCCATTATGCCCCTTCTCTCTTCCCTAGTCTCGTCTTTCCGCTAAACTTCTATTTTCACATTTTGGAAGGATGCCAGCTAGAGATATAAAAAGTAGATCTGTTATCTTGTCTTGCTAAGACAAAATGGATCCTTAATGCATTTTAAAAAAGCGATAGCATGTCCTTAAAAGAACTGTTGCTTTTTGGTGGGGTAAGAGCATGTATCAGGAATTATGTATTTTTAAATAGCATTGACGTATTTATCAGTAGTTGTTTAAATAGATTTTGCGTGTAAATGTCTATCCCAGCCCTACTGAGGTGGCTTTAGAATTAGTGTGGTATCAGTGCTGGAAAATTCTGCATATATGACTGTATGGACTGTTTTAGATGGCTAAAATCACATATATACTATAGTTATTTTTTTATAAAGCAAATAGTCGCTTTGATGTTTGAGCAGGCTTCCTGTATTCCAGGTCTACCTACTGCACAAATAAGGCAAGCTAACAAATCAAGTGAACGCAGGTTTGGCAGAGCAAAACCTGCACCAGTGCCTATTACAGATGTACCAGAGGAACGTCTAATAATTAGTCTCCCACAACAGAAGAGTACTGACCCAAAAGTAGACCCCTATTCTGTAGTGGAACTTGGATGTGTTGCTGGAACATCCCCTCGCACTAGGGTTTCACATAAAAAGGCAGCTGAGCAGCCATCCAGTGTGCTGTCGGAGTTTGTGGAGAGCTGCAGAGATGTACCAAGGGAGAGCTGGCATTTGGAAGGTTCTCTGGCCGTTGTGAAGAAAAAGAAAAAGAAACCAAAACAAAAGAGAAACCAGCTGCCAAGAACAATGGAGTTCTGGGATGAAAATGTAACAGTCTCAAAAGCTCCTAGAAATTCTCCATTTGCTGTTGAATTGCAAAAAACAGATGTCTGTCCCGTAATGCCTGCTGAAGCTCGCAAAGAGCAGTCAATTGCCTCAGGAAGCAGAGTTTCACATATGCCAAAGGATGCTAAAATAATAACTGGAAGTCATATCCTGGATGAGCAAAATGCCTTCTCAGTGCCAGCACCAGGACAGCAGGCCCAAAAGCCCAGCATACCGTTAGAATCTGTGTTGGATGCAAAAAATGGGGATGTCGTTAAAACAGAAGGAATGAGAGGTGACAGTTTGATGTTGCAATCTAAAGGCAAAAGAAAAGAGGTTCCCTTGCAGCAGGTAGGCAAGACTAAGGTGGGGGAATCTGTTACAGCAAAGGTGCCAACCAAGCCTATGGAAAGAGATTTTCTTGATAAAAATGAGAAGAGGGAGTATAAGGAGTCAAAATGTGCTGACCTGATGCCACCTCTTTCAGAAGCGATCAATCTAAGCAAAGTAGAAGCTGCTTTAGAGACCAAACCTTCGGAATTGCTCCTTTCTGATAAAGATACGGAAGCTAAATGCACATCTCCCAGGTGTGAAGCATTCAGTGACACTGTCCACCATGAGCTTCAGACTTCCAGTGCGTCACTGGAAGAAGCAGCAAAGAAAAGAGGTAGTTGTGAAAAAAGCAAAGGGGTTGAAAATGAATCCCTCAAACAGCCTGCTCTTCTAGAGGCTGCGGCCCCATCGGACAAGCTTCCTAACGAGCCAAAAGCAGCTGATGGAACTAAAACAGTGTCGTCTGATAAGCGCATGGCTGTTGACTTCAGTAATGCAGAGGGAGTATTGAAGACTCCAACAGATACTACTAAAACGCCTATTACACCATTAGTTTTACCAAAACCTGAGGAAGTTACTGCTTTGCAAAACAGAAAGGCTGACAGTTTTTCAGAGCAGCCATTTCTTCTGTCAGTTAAGTCTGATGCAACCAAACATCCCGCCTCTGCTGAAGCAGTGGACAGAGTGATGGTAGCAGATTCCCCTGATAAAAACAAAGGGAAAGGATTTATTACGGTAGAGCAGCAGACTGGAAAAGATCCCAATATTGCACATGGGATGGACAGACCTAAAAAAAAGCGTGGTGAAGGGAAAGTAAAAAAAATCAAAAGCTTCTCTGAGCAGATGATGCTTTCGGAGGATGTAAGCAAACTTACTGATGGAGTGAGGACAGATGAGACTATAAAAGAAACAACTTTCCCTGATAAAGGCAGAGGTTTTACTGCAAGAGGACCTCTGTCAGTAAGCACTACACATGCTTATCCTGCAGACAAGCCAAAAAAAAGAGGTAGTGATGGAAGAGGTAAAAAAGGTGAAAGAAGTTTTTTCCAGCAGCCTTTTCTTGAGAATAAGATGGACCCAAGTAGTTTTCCTGACATAACTGATAAAACTAAGGAAGTTAGTGATAAAGGCAGAGAGAGGGGCTGTATTACTGCTGAGTGTTTTCAGGAGAATACATCAAATGTAACTAAAATGCAAAGGTCAATTGAACTGGTAACAGAGAAGCCTAAAGAAAGCGTTGGGAAAAATGAAGTAGCTGATTTGGGTGCTTTAGACCAACCATTCCTGCTGGAGGGTAGGAGGGAGGAAGCAAAGCATCTTGCTATGGCTGACACGATCAGCGAAACAAAAGAGGTAAATTTGATTAATAAGGGCAAAGAGGCTGGAATTACTTCTGTAAGTGAATCAGTTCTGGTAAATTCTGATGCAACAGTGGTGGCAGACAAACCTAGAAAAAGGTGTAGTGATGGGAGAAGAAAAAAACCTGAAAAAAGTCCTTTGGGGCAGGCAGCTGTCCTGGATGCTGGGGTGGAAACAAGCAATCTTTCAAGCAAAGAGAAGGTGGCTGGAAGCACAAAAGAAATGACCTTTGATAAAGATAAGGTGTCTGGTTTTGAAAGAGAGCTTTTGCTGGAGAATCTCACAGGTATAACCAAAGAGGTGCTGGAAGAGCCTGAAATACAGGGTGGCCACAGAAGAAGTTTCTCTGATCAGCCGGTTCTTTCGGGTCATAAAATAGAAACAGCAGACCCAGAAATAGTCAACACTAAAGAAACTTGGCCCTTGAATAAAGTTAAGGAACTAGATACATCCAAGCCTCTCCCAGAGCACAGGACAGATGCAGCTGTGGCACACAGTCCCACCAGGGAACGGGTGATGGACAAGCCTAAGAAAAAAAGTAGAGACGTGAAAGGCAAAAAGGCTGAAAATAGTCTTGAGCACTCTGTTGCACTGGGTCCAGGTAACATCCCTGCAGTAGGTGAAGAGGTGGGAAATATTAAACAAACTCAGTCTTTCGATAAAAGCAAAGAGACTAATTCCAGTACTTCCGCAAGTCTGCTAGATGACCTAACTGATACTATAAAAGTACAAGCTCCTGCTATACCTCTGGAGCCAGAAAAATCACACACAAGTAATAAAGAGAAATGCAAAAAGATGGAGGTTAATGTGCAGCAGCCATGTCTTCTGGAGCATAAAGCAGGTGCAGAGATGTTTCCTCCTCGTGACATGGAGATAACTGACAAAGCTGAAGCAGAAAGTCCCACTCCTTGCAACATGGGGGGTGGACTTCCTATCGTAGAGCATCCAGCAGTGGCAGATCGCACTTCAGCCACAGTTACTGATAGATCTAAAAAGAGGGGTTATGATGGAAGTAGTAAAAAGGCTAAAAATGCCTCTGAGCAGCCTGTTTTTCTAGACCCAAAAACAAACAGGAGAGAAGTACAGCCTCCCATAGGATCTGAGATGGAATATGGAATGGAAGACATGGATTTGGTAGATGAAAACAGGAACATTAAAAACTTTCCCATTGGCCCTCAAATGCTTTGGAATAATAAAGGAAGCGACTTTGAATCCTTTGCTCAGACTGCAGTAACTGGCCCTGATAACACTGGCAGTGTTTATTCTGGCTTCCCAAAGCAGACAGATGAGGGTGCAAGAAGTAAGGGGCTTCCTCCTCCTGAAGCGGTAGCAGAGAACAGCAGCAAAGAGCCTGGATGTGGTGCTAAGAAGGAGATACAGACGCAGAAATCTTGCGAGCAGCTGATCAATCTGGGACACAAAGAGCCTGGAAAAGAGGTTTCAAAGAAAGATGGTAAAACCGAAGAGGCTGGTTCCCAGGATGGGAGTGAGGCAGATAAACCACTTTCTTTGGACCGTTCGGTTAAACAGGACATTAAATCAAAGAAGGACGAAGTTCACCTTTCTCCTGTGGCAAAGGTGGATGATAAAGAAATAAGAACAGCTGATAAAAAGCAAAACAATGACAGCGCTTCCTCAGACCTTCCTCAGAAGGTGGCAGATTCAAAAAATAGACCAGCTCCTGTAGGTGCCAAAGGGACAGAGAAACAAGAAGCAATTGTCTCTTCTGGAGAGAAGGACACTGGCTGCGTTTCCCCAGAACCTGCAGCGATACCAGAGAGCAAAGCAGGAGCAGCCATGTCGCAGGTTGTGGCAGAAGCATTAATGGAGAATAAAGCTGAAGAGGCTGAGTTGGATGGAGACAAGAAGAGTGAGCAGATCTCACTGAAGTACCCAGGCAGTTTGGGCAATAAAGCGGTTGAAGCAGAGCCTGCTGGTTTAAATCTGACAGCTGCTCAAACAACCAAAATAAGTCCTGAAGATAACAATAAGGGTCGTTCTCAGCCTGCAGAAGAGGATGCTGCTCGCAGTGGGGAAGCTCACCTGAAGGGTGCCCCAGTGTTGAAGCCTGAAGTAGATAAACTTGAAGACACGACTAAAGAAAAAGAGGAATGTGAACAAAAGGCCATGAAGGAGGCAAAGAAAGAGAGAGTTAAAGCAGCAGAACAGATAAAAGGCTACATGAGACCCACAAAGTCAAGAGGGGTGCCAACTCTGCCAGCCAGGTCTGCTGCTCCAGACCGAGAGAAACAAAGGCAGCTGAAACCCACTGGTATGAGCCAGCAGAGGCAAGAAAAAGGTGTGTGTTTGCGATTTGAGCTAGCAGCAGTAATCCAGACAGCTTGCGTGCAAGACCTTGCTATTTGTCAGTGCATTGGCATGAATACGTAATTGTTAATCCTATGTGGCACAAGCGAGTGTGGCATGACTGGTTTTTTGGCTAATCTTAAGAAGGCTGTTAGTTCTGCTTGCCTGTCTCACAGTGCTAATTCCCAAAGTTTGAAGAATTGACAGCTTGGTCTAAGTTCCAGAACTCTTGATTTTTTTTTTTTTTTATCAGAGTTTTATTTTTAATTCAGAGTTAATTTTACATAGATATTGTAGAATATTTAAGTAAACTTGCACTTTTTGGTGTTAAGTTACATTAGCTTCTTGTTATCCGAGACTGAAAGTGACCTTCATCTGCGGTGCAACAGTGAATCATCATCATCACTAAATAGCACTGTATGCCACTGGCAGGCAGGGAAAGGGAGTATTTCTGTGGTAGGAAATGTTCTCGATCGCTGTCATGTTGCAGGGTTTGATTTTAATCCTACCTCAGGCTAACTGCAGCCATCTACTTTTCCTCCTGCAATTGGTTAATGACTTCATCTTAAGCTACCTTGAACTGCTACATCTATAAAATGTGCTTCCTTCTAGAATAATAATCTTTACTAAAGCAGAGTTGTAACAAGACAATAGTGGGACTGATAGAGATTTTAAGACTTTATGTCTCTGAGACTATGGATGGACTGGTAAGCGTTTTGGACTGTTTACCCTGGCTGTTGTCCAGCGAACAAGATCCCTGTACTCACAGGAAATGAGATGGAATTAATTTCATAGAATTAATGAAGTTCATAGGAATTTTGACATGAAGAATATAGTATGGATAGAGATGAAATAAAAAATGTTTTTGTACTTCTGCTCATTCTAAACCTTCCTCAGAAAGAATTGGCGGCATCTCTGTGAATTCCAGTCTGCTGAGGTGGGCTGGGGAAGTTTATCCATACCCTTAGGGCTCTTACTTTTTGCCTTGTCATCAGGCACGAAAGTTTGTTCCTGTTTCTATTTCTGTGGAGTTCCTTGCTGCCAGTTTGCATGATGCAGCCACTAACTTAACAAACGTAGAGCTCAAGTGCGCCTTAACATGCTGGTCAGGTTTTTGAGAGGTTTTGTAATTTTAATGAGTGTTGCATAACCTGAAGTAGTTCTATTTTAGTGAAAGCGGTGTTCTCTGCATGAACTTGTGCCTGCAGAAGTAATGTTCTTTGGTGCATGATGCTACAAAATAAAGGGAAAGCTAAAGGCAGCATCTTTTTAAAAAAAATTCTTTAAAGCCTTTCCATTGTCTGCTAGAAGTCTTTATTTTCCTTTGCGAACTGCTGTATTCAAGGGAGCAGAATTTTAGTAGCAGATCCATGCAAAAAAGAAAAGGTCCTCCTGAATGTTTTGCACAAGCAGAGTGTACGGAGTTGAAGGATTCCTGGTTCAGAGTAGCTCATCAGCGTGTGAGTAAGTTGGTACATACTTTGCATCTATAAGTTGGCCTGACCTAAGTTTGCACAGGACTCTAATAATATTCAGTTGCTTTCATCCTTTCAGCGCTTCATAGACTCACGGTTGTTTTTTTAAGAGAAGCTCTGAATGACTGAGCTTGTTTTGGAAATGTTGGTTGACATGTTCCTGCGGCAGTTTAAATCCAAATGCTGTCAGGTGCAGGGCTGCCGAGGAGCACTGGCAGTAGACCCGGCCCCTGGCTTCGGGCAGTCTCATGGTGACCGCGCAACGTCTGGGCTGAGTGACAAAGCGTAAGTTGCAGTCGAGATCTTAGTAGTGAACGAGCAGGGAAGCAGATTTGCTTTGCCATCCAGGTATGTTACCGAGGCTTGTCTCTCTTTCCATCCACTGCCCAACTCATGACGAAGTAGCTGTTCAGTGAGTTGCAAAACATCACCAAAACCCGTACTGAATCCCTAAGTTGGCACAACTGGTGTGGAAGTGCTTTAGGGTGGATCCGAGGATGAAACAGTGAATTCGTGCATCAGTTGAACACAAGTTAAAACCAGAAATCAATGAAGGGAAGGTCTTGAGATTTCAAGACCGTGAACACGAGTGTGCTTGTTTACTGGGTAGAGAAGGAGCTAAAAGGATCCAGGAGATCATTATAATGATTAGAGTCCAGATTTCACTAAGTTGATGGGGCCATGGACTGTACAGACCTTGTATGTGCCAGTTTATCCTCCTGTTAAGATAACAATTGACTGCTCAAAGGTTTTATGTTTTTACCGATCACTGGAACTTGGCGAATGCTTCATCTGTATTTGTCAGGCAGGACTGTGAAGCTCATACTTCGCAACATCTAATATCTGCCCATAATAAACTATTTTTCTTGGTGGTGGGCAGTTGGTGATCTACTATCAGAATAATGCATGTAGATATTTTGGAGGATCTTCTGCTGAAGTTTAGTAACAGAAATCTCTTCGGCCAGGCTCCCATGTCTTACACTGTGTGTTCTAGAATAACAGGACGGCTTTCCTGAATGCATCAGCTCCTGTATGTACTGCTAAAATAGGTATGAGCTTTGTGATACAGCTCCCTTGGGAGTCATGGCAACTGTGATGCTGCAGATTTCTCTCACTGACAGAAGTTGTATGTATCTTTTATAAACCAGGCCTGCAAACTTCTGTAATTTTTTTTTCTAATTTTGACTTTGCAGCTTAAAGTTAAGAAACATTGGATGTAGGACTGTTCATGCAATTTGAATTTAATCCTTTATTCATCTCTTGGATTTATTTGAGCTTCTCATTTTTGTTGTTGTCATTGTAAGAACTGCCCCAGATTCTTCTGGAAAACTATTTTATGCCTTTTAAAGTCAGGAGGCAGCTGAGATGATAACCAAAACATGCCAGACCCTATCAGCCTTTAAAATGTGACTGAACCTTTATGCTACCTCTTGTGTGGAGTTAAAACTAAAATTGGGAATTATGTACAAAAAGCAGGGTCCTAAAATCCGTACTTCCAAGCAGGTGCCCTTGCTGATGCAGGGCTGGGGATCTGATGTTGAGGAATGGCTAACAGAGGAAATGATGGAAGACTTTCGTTCATCCAGTGTTGAGCCGTTTGATTCAGATTTACTGCTAGCATCCCTCTTCCCTTTATTCCTCAAGCTGTATTTCAACATTGAGACTTTGGAAAGATATTTTTTTTCTCCAGTCTGTCCTTAAAGAATAGTCTACTTTAATTTCTTTCTTTTTTGTTTCAGTGTTTTGGGGTTTGTGTCATCTTATGTTTTTTGATTTGCGTAAGCTCTTCAGCAAAGGGCCATCTTCATGTATGTCTGTTATAGTGATGCTCCAGTATTTAATACTGTGGGCTTTGGTGCTGGCAGAGTAAAGAGCTTATTGCATAACCACATTGTGGTCTAGCCAGTTATGCTTCCGAGTTATTCTCCCAAACATGGATTGGAGGGGCCCGTTGAAGTGGTCATCTGATGCCCAGTTTCTCTCTTTACTCAAAAGCTTCCATCTCAATCTCTGTTGCTGCCTCTGGTGGGCATCCTTCCAGTGCCCGTCCTTTCAGCTGAGCTGATGACAAGCTGTCTTTGCAGCCCATTGGCACAATCACCGTGTGTAATACAGTACATATTTCTCAACATGACAGCTCTAAATCCCTTGTGTGTAAATAAGATACATTTAAAAGCAAGAAATGCCATCCCTGCTTAATTACAGTATTTGCTTTTCTTCTACAGCCACAATGAAGCCCTTTCTCTAAATATTTTCTTTTCCTGACTGGTTTCCATTATACTGGTGTCATTATAATGTTAAGTCAGTTTAGCATTTCCACAGTAACCTTTCATTCACATAATGTCTGTAATTCTCCCATGGGACCCCAAACTGTAATTGGGTTTGTCTAATATGAGCTGATCAGCTACATGAACGCAATGGGCCAGTGGACTGTATGGATGTGTAACTAACTGCATCCATTTTACCTGGAATCATCATCACAAATGCAGTTGTGGACAAGTACCCCATAATAACAGTGGTATTTTAATAATGCTTTTGAAATGGTCAGAATAACATCATATTGCAGCCTGTTCATTTCACCTGTTATTTATCCCAGGTGGGTATATGAGAGAAACGAAAACTAAACAGTGGCAGCAGCCAATTCTCGTGTCAGAACTAAATATATTTATGAAGCAGCAAGAGAACTTTGCTATTACCTGCTTTTCCCCTAAATTTTTGCATGTGTGTGTTTGTATTTGATTCTGCTTTAACAGAAAGTTTTGTTGCGGTATCGGTTCTATCTGTAATTAAAAGGTGAGTTGAGCTTAGAGAACATTTTTGCAGATCTGTAGCTTGCAGATACCAGGTGTTCAGAGGCCTGTTTGTCTTCTGTTGAATCAGTGCATAGCTCTGAATATGTTCTTTTAAGGGTTGCTCAGAACAGTTGTAGCTGACTGCATATGCCCATTTTTTTTTTTCCTAGTTGGTTTTGTACTGTGTGTTATATCGATACTGGCTTTTTCTCTAGCTGGACGGTCTCATGCAGCAATTCTCATTTTAAGCTAGCACCATAATCTTTGGCTAGGACTTCCTAAGCTTTGTTTTCTTCCTTTATTTTATATTCCTGCTCATCCTTGACACTGATTTTCAAAAAAAGCTGGGAATGAAACAAATATACTTCTGTTTGTAAATTCTGCCAGATTAAGAATGTTAAACAACATCGCTAAGGAGATGTGTTCAACTTTCAGGGGATATCTGAATTTCAAGCCTCATCTTTCCTTGCTGATGTTGCTAGTTCATTGCTTTTGTATCATTCAGTTCACTTAGTTTTGCCTCTTTTCAGTTTCCACTAGCAAATACTCCTACAATAACCAAATACTGGTAATATTTTGAGTTGGGAACGCTCTTGAGTGCGTTTTAATTCTGGTTTTGGCTGATCACTAGGATTTTTAATGTATTATATGTAAATTCTGAAGTAAATGGAATTTGATCTGTAAATGTCCTTTCCTATCAAACAAGAGACTGCATTTGAGTATTG